GGTTTACATATTGCCACATACCTGTCATATGACATTGCAGCAAGCAGGTAGCATTCAGAAGCAGCTAGAGAAGCAAAAAAGTAGTACTGCACCATGCAGCCAGTTACAGAAATGGTTCCTTGACCCCCTTTAGAAAGGTTAGCTAGCATCAGGGGAAGGATGCTAGAACTATAACAGGACTCCAGGCAGGATAAGTTAGCCAAGAAGAAGTACATAGGAGTATGGAGGTGGTGGTCAGTTATAACCAGCACAACAATGAGGATGTTCCCGGCCATGGTAGCAATGTAGATGACCAAGAAGAGCAGGAAGGGGAAAAACCACTGGTCCTCCAGATCTCCAAATCCCAGAAGAAGGAATTCTGTGACCAGTGTTTGATTTTCCTGTCCAGTTATTTTCCATCTTGGCAGTTCAGACCTAAAAAGATCATACCAACTGTATTGTAAAAGTATAGAAATGAAGGAATGAAGTTCCTTTTCTAGAAACATGTTCTTATTCAAATAATGTTAAAACAGGCAGTCAGCAAGGAAAAGCTAGAGATCCGAAAGTGCAAACACCTTGCTGTGTGTGAAGAAACTAGGAATTTGGGAAAATATGAAAATAATGCTTTTTACCTGTTCATGACCTGATGAACCTGAAAAACAAACAGAAAGGTCAGCATATGAAGGGACAATGTTCATTTTGCCTTCCTTTTCTGATCGCTTCAAAGGAGAAATTGTAAGAAGGAACTGAGGCCCTGGTCACACAAGGGGAATGGTTTCTAGTTCTTACAATACTTTCCATACCTCTGTTGTATTGAATTATGATCATATGGTTTGTATCCCAGAAAGAAAGTTCCAAGAACATTTATCAGGACCAATTTATTTCCTCCTGTTTGTATTGTTATGGCTAGCTACACCATGGTACTGGTTTATTTTCTCTCTTGCTTTAAGGGGCAATTTAGCCCCTTGATTTATATATATATAAAAAACTATGAGAGATGAAAGGGATTAGAGGGCATGAAAGTTAATCCAGTCACCCCAATGGTACTTCCACCTATCCAATGGAGGGTCTCAGCACCCTCTCAAATGAGGGAAATCTGCCTCCCCGTGACTTGGCCTTACACCCAAATAAACCATGTTCATGGCAGCCAGCTCTGCTTTGGTCTGAGCAACAGATAGGTTAGCAAAGAATTTGTTATTCTCTAATGTGTTCCTGCTATTAAGTTGTCCTCAGTCTGTATGTGCTTTTGCTCCATGATACCATGAAATCCATTTTGAGGAACTGTGTGGAACTTTTATCTTTTTACTTTTTTGTAACTGTTTTTCCTTCTTTCCGCCTCACACAAAATGCATAAAATCCTTTCCAGTTGCTGATTGATTTTTGGGGCACAAGATTTTAGTGCTACAACATGAAATGCAGTCCCTCACCATTGGTTTGGTCAGTGTTAAATAATGGAGAGGGTGGGAGCAGGTCTTCGAGTCAAACTTTCTGGAAGCACTGCTGAAATAGGGGGATGGAGTGTTTGGGAGCAAAAAGGTGTCTATTAGGCTTGATAGACCATCTTCCCTTTACCACTTTCTTGAAAGTCATCCTCACCAGACAAAGAAGGACAGGAAAGCAGAGTGGCTATCAAAGGTGTGTGACCCAGAAACCGTCATGCTGCTTCTCAATATGGATGGGCAAACATGTATGTAGATTCTGTGCAATTTACTGTACTTTCCAACATAAAGATCGATCTATCCGTTTTCTGCATGAACTGGCAAATTTGAATCTGTACATATTTTTGTTTTCCCATCTCTAAATCTACAATTCATGTGCATTTTTGCTCAGATTGTTCAAATTGCACAAACTTTTGCAAGTCTTCCTTTAAAACATCATCCTTAAGGAAACTCCTCTGTAACACAAAAATTTCTGTGCACACTTGTCTCTACCATACACATTTTTTTTCATTCATTTTTGTCTGCAAACTCTAGTAAAATGCTGATTTCAATACTATTTCTCTTTATTTATGGGCTCAAATGATGCAAATCTCATAAACTGCTTTAAACATACAAACTAAATGAATTGCACCTCTTACCTGATTCCTTCTTTAATTACAAATCACAGCTGAACAATCCTCAAAGTCTTCAATAAATTTGTTCCACTTAGGAAAACAGAAAAGATTCCAGAATAGTGCAGATTTTAACAAGTAATCTCTAAAAATCTTTTTGTTTTGAAACGTTGATAAAGCATGATCATCATTCCCTGAAATTTGCAATTTTCAAAATATACAATCTTAACAAATTATGTGTTCCCACACAACCCTCTAGTCCCATCTCTGCATATTATGAAGATACTACAACACTTGAATTACCTGCTCTGCAGTGTCTTCGTTCTGGACACAGTGTTTCTCATTTCCTTCTTCTTCATCATCTTCTTTATGAATGCACAACTTGATACAATGATTTAAAGCAGATTTGTTGTCATTTTCACTTCATTTTAACCTCATCTATTTTTTAAAACTAATCAGTCCTTTGAGCATTCATTTTCCTATCTTCCCACAGGGATGCCACAGTCTCGATGGAATTTTTCATAATACGTACCGTATTTTTCCATGTATAAGATAATACTTTTGTCAAATATCTTTAGACTAAAACTTGAGTTTTCTTATACATGGAAGTATGCTGAGGAGAGAAAAGCAAGTGGAGGGGAAAGCAGGGATGAAAGTGATGTTGCAGGGCTTTGATCTCTGTTTTCCCCTCCACTTGCTAAGCCTTAGCAAAAGGAAAGGAGGAATCAAAGCGCTGCAGGATGGCTTTGATCCTTGCTTTCCCTTTGCTTACTAAGTCCCATGGGGCTTGGCAAAATGAGGGGGAAAGGCTCAAAGCAATCCCATGGCTGTATAAGGGGTAAAGGGATCAAAACAATCATGTAGTCACAGGATAGCTTCGATCCCTTTCCCCCTCCTTTTGCGAAGCCCCGCGGGGCTTAGCATGAGGGGAGAAAACAAGGATCAAAGCGATCCTGCAGTGCTTTGATCCCTTTCCCCCTACACTTGCTAAGCCCCACTTAGATTTCTTAATTTTGGGTTAGAAAAGTGCAGGTGTCTTATACATGGGGGTCTTATACATGGAAAAATACAGTATCTAAAGATTATCATTAAATTCTTTGTTTAGAATTGAGGAAAGCAGTTGAAAACTAAAAAGTTTAATGGAGAGGGTAGGGGGCTAGATTCTTTAATTTGCTAAATATAGATGATGCAAAACTAAATTCAGCCAAAATGAGACTTTCATTCTACTTTAATTTTTAATCCACTTCATAGAGAAAAGAATCAAATCAATATATTGAATGTGAGCATTAAGATTAGGATAATGTATCACCAGTAGTAAGTTTTTTCTGGTCAACATTGTGAAGATAACAAAACTTACTTCTATTCATTAAAAGGGAAAAATATTTCTTTACATACATGCTTGCTACACATGTTGGCCTGTGGTCTTATTACAAGATTTCTCCATCCCCCCCCCCCACAGAATCTAGTCCTTTCCTACGGATTTTTTTTTGC